CATCCTATGTAGAAAATCCTGAGCTATTTTATTCCTGACTTTTGACATGACTGTGAGCCTTAGGTTCTCTAGTGCCCTCGATTTTCTATGCCTTCCTTACCGGGTTAGTTTATGTTCACTAATAATAAGGCCAATTCTGGGCCTCTCTGTGCCTGGATCTTTGAACCTTATATGATGAAGCTAAATCTGGCTGATGGTCTGATTTGACATTCGGTACTTTTAGGTTCTTTAGTTTTCTACCATATTAGAGTGTTAACATAAGTTGAAGAGTTCAAAGCCTGACTCAGCTTCGGAGTAACTGTGAGAGCTAAATAAGCCTTTATTAGCCTTCATTTCCCCATTTACAAAGTGGGACTATAAGTTGAGGAAAACTAAGATTATATGTAAAGCCATTAGAATAATGCTTAGCCCATAGCAAACAATAAACATTAGCAATTATGAGTCATTATTTCAAATATAATTTTTTATTCTTCCTTAAAAATTTTTAAGCAGAAGGAGAAAACACCTAACTATTTCAAGAGAAATAATTCCAAGGGAACACTCCTTGGCATATGAAACAAAGCTTATATTGGATTTTTACCATCTAATCCCTCATATTTCATGTCTATCTTTAATGCATAACCTAAAGCTCACTTAAAAGAAAAAGTCTATCTCAATCATTAACAGTCTTTAGGAAGTTATTTAATCAAACTGTTGTGAGACATAATTTTTAAGGCGAATAATTACACTTATGATGACTGAAAATTATGCTTATAAGTCAAATATAGTTTTAAAAAACTTAGTACTCACACATAATTATAATATATGCCAGAAATAATATACTGTGATAGAAATATTTTAAAATTGTATTCAAATATTCAGATTTATCAATAACTAAGGATCTCACTCGATTAAATTATTAAACCATGCAGCAAAACAATTGCTAACCCACAAAATAGGAAACAGACATGGAAGATGTATGATAGGCATTTGGGAGATATGGAATTTATCCCATGAGTGTTGTAAAGAGCTCATAACTTAAGAGTACCAAAGCCCAAGTGTGTTATGAGAGCCTTTCCACAAAAGTGACATTAGTTGCTTATCCCACAGATGCTTATTATATACTCTATTTATATTGAAGTGTAAAATGTAGTCAAAAGCTTACAGATTCAATATATTTAAAGGTGATAATAAAAGAGTTACTTAGTCCTAGAAAAAATTGTTAAGTTAAACTTCAATTTTTGGTCTCATTTTATAAAAGACTATTTGGTCTCATTTTATAAAAGACTATTGTAATAGTATTAAGTGAAAACAATACCAAATGTTTATACGAATCTGCTATGATCAAGGGTCTTTTGGATTTACAACAAAATATATGATCAATGTCAGAACTGCAGCACAAACATTTTAGATGTTTTTGCCAAAACAAAAACAAGTGATGAAATCATAGGACCATGTTCTTACAATAAAAATTCCACAAAAATGTAACTCTTAAAAATTTCCTTAGAAACTAGCATTAATGCAGTCAGCGTTTTACTTTTGGAAATTAGTCAGTGCTCATTGACAGGCTTTTACAGAATTTAATTTTTTAAAAAGCCCAACACCGATCAATAATTGGCAAACAAAAGACAACTCAAGATGTTAATTATGTGAATTAAATCAAGAGAAACTTCATTCTAAGAGCAACAGGTCTAATCTTTCAAAAGGTAATGAAAAAGATGGTGTAAATTACTTAGAGGACGTTATTTTATAACATCACTTATGTTGAACACTTAATTGCAGATTTTGTTTAAAATCATAAGTTGATTTAGCACTGGTTCACAAAAAAACCACAATTATCCAAAAGATAATGCACTCAAAAATATTAAATGATAGCATTAACAAGCAAGATAGGACTTTATGAATACGTATATCCATAGTTCAAGGTAACTATTATCAATTTACCCAGAATTAAGATAATTTAGAATAATGCTAACCAATCTTGTTGATAAATTTATTAGATTATTGCTAATAAATTCACTGCATTTCCACTAATGCTGCAAACATGATTATACATGGTATACATCCCACCTCAGAAGACTTCCAAATATATTTACTTATAAAAGCTAATTTCAAAAATGGAGTAGTTGCAAAATATTCTCTTAATTATCATCGTATTAGAGAGCAGACCTAAATAACTTTAATGTATCAGATAACTGTTAAAGATTGATTAAAGTTAGAAACTTACATTTAATCTGGGGTGTAATTAGTCTTGCTAATACCTTTTCCACCAACATAAACATATTTGTGACATATTCCTCATTGGTGGTACTGATTATATTGGCTCATTCCATTCATTGTTGACATTTTTAGGAAATTATTTTTGTTGAAACACTTTAATAGAAAATATTTTGTTTGACAATAAAAATTTTGTAAAAGAATGCAGGAGTACATTTTAGTTGACGTGATTATGAATTCTCGTATCATCCTGAGATGTCATTTTTATTATCTGAAAACTGATTTTATATTTGCTACTTGGTGACCATTTATTAAAGCAGACTATATTTTCAAGTAATAATTTTGAATGTAGAGATAAATTAGCTTTCTTTCAATAGGAGTAGAGGGTAGCATCAGCAATTATTTAGATTAATAACACATATTATATAGGAAAAAGTATTTCAATTCCGTTCCATTAGCTACAATCCTACAATATTTACTAGGTTCAAGGTCGTAAAGTTATTGAGCCAAATCAGTATGATCATTTCTAAATGTTTACTCTCAACTTGTATATTATCTCTTTATAAAGCACTGATCTAAAAGGATGGCTGTCACATATTTCCAGGTAAGTAGAAGCCCATATGCTTTAGTGAAGAAAACACAGAAAGCCAACGACAGAGCTGGAAGGGTTCATGAATCACAGAGTATATCATATAGCAATGCTTCCCCAGCTAAGTAGTGGCAATGACAAATAGTGACAATAAAAGTACTTCCAAATATATATTGAACATTTATTATATACTACACACTATGCTTTTTACACATTATGATTTAATGCTCACAGGTACCCTACAGAGTATTATTTTTAATTTCCACTAGTCATCAATGAGAAATACACAGATGGTCAGTGCAGCTTTGGGTAGCATTCAGGGCCATAGGTTGTTCAAGCAGTATGGCTGTTAATGTGCCTCACAAATAGTAATAAAAAATTCCTAAGTGAAATGGGAAAACATCCTTGCACTATAAAATGTAAAACAGGCAAATAGAAAAACTAAGTGACTTCCTTCAAAGATAAAAAAATTACATAATATAAAGAAAACACAACCTGAACATGTTGTCACATGTCTATAATCCCAGCACTCAGGAGGCTGAGGTAGGCAGATTGTGAGTTTGAAGCTAGCTTGGCTATATAGCAAATTTGAGACCAACCTGAACTACACAGTAAGATCCTGTTTCAAAAAACAAACAAAAAAAACAAAACAAAACAAAAAAAAAAGAAAGGAAAAATGTTGTCCAGTGTATGGCTCATGCCCATAACCCCAGCTAACTGGGAGGCAGATCTGGAGGATTGCAGTTGGAAGCAAGCCCAGGCAAAAAGTTAGTGAGACTACATCTCAATCCACAAACCGGTGTGGTGCTATGTGCCTGTGGTCCCAGTTTAGTGGGTAGAAGGATTCCAGTCTGACACTGGCCCCAGGCAAAAATGTTGAGCGCTTACCTGAAAAAGAACTAAAGTAAAAACGGGCTATGGGTGTGGTTCAAGTGCTAGAGTGCCTGCCCAATAAGGGCAAGGCCCTGAGTTTAAACCTCAATACTGACAAAAAAAAAAAAAAATGGAGAATGGAGATGAGATGTTAAAAAATAATTGGATAAATGAGGCGGCTATGGCTATTGCAAATTGTGATAATATTGCTTATAAGGATGGAAGGATTATAAGTATTTATGTCATGAATTATGGAGTTTTACTGGGAATGTACTGCCAGGATGTTGAAGAAGTTCTATGAATTGTTATGATGAAGAGAGGACTGAAGGAAACTAACTAGTAACTGACATGATAAAGAAAACTAGAACAGCCTAGTTATAAATGACCATCCATAAACCCATGTCATTACCATTGCAGTGCAAAGCACCAGGTCAGGCAAAAAAGCAAAAAAATAGAAAGCATTTCAAAGAAATGATCAACATGTTCAACAGCAACTTCTTTCCTCAGTACTAAAGACCACTTTTTATACTTCAGCAAACAATTTTGTGAGGTGTTAAATGGGCATTGATATTTGAACATACCTATTCTTTGACTACACTGTGGCGAGGAATATAGAATTTAACTGCAGACCTTAGCACTAGATCTTTTATAGTAAGTTGTTATACCTACAATCACAAATGTTATTAGTTAGGCTTACAAGTTTAAACAAGAATTCATTAATAACCTACAGTGCTGCTCAATACCCATGTCACACACAACTTTTCTTATTTCCAGTGGGAATTATTGAGCTGCTCTCAAAGGCAAGGTCAAGGTTAAATTATAGAAATAAAGACAAGCAGCATTAAAACAGGAAAGCAAACTTCTTCAATTACAGTTCAGGGCTTCCACAGAAGAAAAATAGCTTATTGCTATTATTAGTAAAAGACCCTGTGTAACATGAGAACATAAATAAAACACTCATTGATTATTTTCTCTGGGTTTAAAAACAGCCCCTGCTCTGGTCCTAAACTTTGGACTCATTTGAGATTCTTCATAACTCAAGTAACAAATTCATATTTATTGAAGGTCTTTGAAGTACATCTCAGTAATATATTCTTAATTTTCCACATTGTATTTAACGGACAGTCAGGGTTTGTAAAAATATCTGCCAAGAAACTGCTCAACACTAGATATAAATAAATATGCTATTATTTATGTAATAGATCTTTTATTATCTATAGCATTACAAAACTGATTTATACTAATTAAAACCACTATTTTTCTAGTTTGCTTACACACCTTTTGAGCAACTGAAAAAATATAAACACCCCACCCCCCCCAGCAGTGACTGGCTCCCTGCTCTTTTGCTAGCATGTTACAGAAGTTATGTGGCTGAAGAAAATTAACACACTATGTTCCCTAAGAGGGACATCAATCTTACTGATAGAAATCTACCTCTGAAGGTAGTATAAAAGACGACACATGATAAAATGGAAAGAACATGGACATCCTACAGGATTGTTTGGGTTTGGGAGCTAGGTTCATGTGTGTATGACCTGTGCAATCCTCATTTCCTTAGCATGCTTGCTTTAATGATCTGCATTTTTCATCTTGAAATTCTTATTTCTTTCAAAAGAAGCCTTGCAGTTTTCTTTTGCACTGGGCTCTTTTGCAAATTATATAGCCAATCCTACCTGGGTTTCAAAGTCTAACATCTGTAAAGTTAGTAATGTTTAGCTTCTTCACCTACAACAAAGGGATAATACCCAATTTACAGGGTTGTTGGGAGTATTAGAGGAGATGCCATTATGTGAAACTAAAGGGCACAGAGCCTGGCACATAGGATTACAAAGGAGTGGGCAATGGAATGGAGCTGAAACAGCTCTTGCTCTTACTTATAAAGATGATATTTTAGAAAGTACCATAAATCATAACTAGGAACAGCGAAAAGTGAAACTTTGGTACTTACAGCCCATATATCTGTGGTGCAATTTCTAGTCTGTTCAAATGCATATAGAGCTCAATATCGTGCTTCTTCAGTAGATGATCCTGGATCTGGTTGACTTTAGTAACAATAGCAATTGTTGGCCCTAAATCTTGTGGTCTCGCAAAGGGTATGGGAGTCATCAGAGTTTCTTTACCCTATAAGTAAGAAAAATGGACCATGTGTATTTCAACATGAAATTAACACATATATTGACATCAGTTTTCAATTATTTTTATCAAAAGGATTTTAAACAAGAATCAAAGCTACTTTAATTCTCTCAGGAAAAGTATTTAAAATGTGGGACCTTGTGCTGAAATATAGATGACTGTCTTCATAAAGCCACAGCCAGGAAATGTCTTCTACAATATATCTCACCTATATTCTCATGACAGTTTCTCTTGTGACTTTAATTGCTGCAAGATAATTCTGGCTAGAGGTGGTGGTGGCCACTACAAACTGTAGGTAGCCAGGGTATCTGACCAGCCATAGTACATATGGAATACTTTGATGAAAACTTTCTTGTGGCATAAAGTTCAAACATGAAATACAGTAAATGAAAACTATTTTGGGCTTTGAAAAGTAAATAAAAAGGGAAAGGAATAAAAGGAAACCATTACTAGAAAGTAAGATGTTCCCTAATTGTCCTTTTGTTAATTTAAACAGCTTAGTAAGGATTTTAAAACTCTCCAGACCAAAAATATAGCTGACTTAAAAAATAACATCTACATTAGGTTCTAACTAAACTTTCCTTTCCTGCCATCTCTACCCTATATTAAGAGACATATCATTAACTCCTTGCAATCCTTCCATGTACACCTCAAGTCTGATGACTTTCCCTAACTGACTGTGTCTGAGCTACTTTCTGACATTAATCCTCAATTTCTACCTGTGTAATATTGGCATTTACATAGTGACATTCTTTTGTAATTTTCAGCTTACCACTTATTCTCAGTCTACTTCTCTAGCACAGATTCTTTCTGATTATCAAAAGTTGCTTTTTCATGTACTATTGGCATGAGTTTTATTCTCCAGGTATATGCCATTTCTGAGTGACTTCAATCATACACAGTGAGTCTCAATGTTTGCAAAACCTTATGAATATACTAAAAAACATTAAAATGTGTACTTTCAAAAGGTGAATATTGTGATATGCAAATAGTATCACAATGAAAATATAGTTAAAAATAAGGATAAGAGAAAGAAATGGTAAGGGATATTTATAATGTGTGAATTCAATAATAATGCATTAGGATGAGCAAAGCAATATATTTGATACAGATTTTATTACACATTTTAGTAACAATGTATATATTACTCACTAGGATAGCAATATAAAGTTTATATTAATTTTAAAACTAAATAGTAATGCTATATGAATTATATACATATAATATGTATATATTACACATACATATAAAGTATAAAATCTTTATATTGTCTTTGTATAGTTGTCAATATTTTTTGAAGATGTGTTACAGATCACCAGGTTCAATCTTATTCTGAAAGTATATTCATATTTTGTTATGGCAGTAACAGTTACATGTATTATATACTGTAATAAAATGGCTGTATAATTATATATTATTCTTTGTTACAAATTATGTACTGAAATAATTTATTCACTCAAATATACTACAAAAATCTGTACTATAAAATTTACCTTTTGACCATCATGCTCAAAAGTAGAAAACCAGGGTTCAGCAGTTTCCATAAGCTGTGAGAACATTGCACTAAAAATTAAAAAAAAAAATAAAGTAATGCTACATTTAATCTGCATTAAAGTAATGATGGCATAAAAGTCAAAAACAATAGTTTTGTACTTACTAGGCATCATGTTCCAGATAGTCAGGGTTCAAGAGAGTTTTCATTTCCTCACTTAAAAAAGCAATGCAAGCAATCAAAATTTGTAATTTTTTTATAATTAATGTGGATGCAGTTTGCCTTATTCTATATTCATAAGCTAAGTTTCAGATAATGTGAAAAATGAAAAAAATTAGCCTTTGTATAAGCCACTGACAAGTAAAATTCTTTCTTTCTATAAAGATCAAAAACACTATGCTTCTTTGTTTGTGCCACAATGAAGTAACTATCCAATATAGAATGTGACAACATATTCCTTGACTATGTTTGATCTAGAATAATTTTTACCCCACCATATATCACTTATTGTCTAAAACCCCCACAAAATATATAGTTACTGACTGAATATATGTCAAACATTTATTTTCTTTTAATGGGTTCTATTTTTATTTTATTTTAACAGAAATTAATCAGTGATAGCACCTTTAATGAATCTACTTTAGTGTTACTTTTACTCCATAATGAATTGAAACAGCTGACAAAGCAAGGCCTCCTCCTTCTGAAATTATTTTCAATCATTTACACTTTCCCATGATGTATATTTTAATAAATAAAACTGGCATGAAACCATGATTCCAACATTAGCTTCATCCTTAGATTTTAGAATAAGTGAAGGCAATTAAAATACGGTTATTCTTGTCAAGATTAGAAAAACTTTGAGGAAACAATCTATATTATAATAGATAAAAGTTGATTTGAGCATATATGTTCAGTAAAATGAACAGCCTGTATTTGATTACTAAAGATCACAGAGTTAACATGTGACAGGTCATCTGCAGGTATTGTTTTCTACACAGGGGGTTAGAACGGAATACTCCTGACAATCCATAGTGTTTCCTGGCTGCCTCTATGGTTCATCAGTTAGGGAACCTTAAGAAAAATGAATTTTTAACAATTACCTAGTTAAATTGAATTATAAAGAGTATATGGAAAGAATAAAAGAATAAATGAATGTTTCACAAAAGCATCAGAAGTCATTTTGCTTATTTACAGACTGAGGTTCTTGGTAGCATAGCTCCTTTATTTTATGCACTCAGGAAGCTCTCATTCAGCTCATAGTGAAGCATGAGCTCTCAGAAGCTGGCATATAGAAATAGAATTGATCGTTAGAACTTTTGTCACTACAGCTAATATTTCCTCTTTTTGATCTGAAGATGTTCAAGGACATTGCTGATTCCAAATCTGCTCTGCAGCTGAACTGGCATTGCAACTATTAAGTAGAATTAGCCACTATCCTCATGAAACAAACCAAACGTTTACAACATTGAATCCGAAAAGTACCTTCAAACTGAAAGACTTTAAGGTTAAAAGAGATGACAGTGAGGGGAAAAACACAGGTGGAATTCACATCACAACTTGCCTGGGCTGTGCAGACTCACTGGCATGTAAAAAAGCTTGGTGATCACAGTGAAGGATAAACACTATAGGTGCTAGTAGCTCGTGCATACCCTGAAACACAAGATCCAAGAGAAATGAATGGAAAAGATATAGATAAGTTGAATTAAATGTTTTTTCTTTCCTTTTATTTTCTTTTGTTGTAGGCTGGGGAGTAAACCTGGGCTTCATGCATGCCAGGCAAGTGCTCTACCAGGGAACCACATTCCTAGCCCATTATCACCTTTTCAACCAATCCCTGCCACTAAAATGTCCACATTATATAGACAACCATAAACACAGAAAGCTACAAAGTGAGATTTCATCTTCTTTTAGAATTTGATTCCAATTCAACCACAGCACGTATTGTTCTTTAAAACATGGAGAGTAGTTTTCCTTTAAATGACATGACGAACAATAAATTGGCATGGTAGACAACCTTGCACCTGTCAGTTACTTCAAGATTTGTACTCATAAATATGAATTTAATTTATGCAAATTATAATCATGAGCTACAGTGTAAAGATCTGCAGTAAGGGCAACTAAGAACTGTAGACCTAAGGAAATTACATCCAATGTTTTCATTATGTAATGGCTCAAAATTAGGATGTCTGTAGATTTAGGAAGAACTGAACTCAGCTAGCTAGGAATGGTGGATAATAAAAGAAACAACCTTTAGTATGTATGACAGAAAATAGTTTTTCAATGTAATTTTCAATATGTTTAATCAGAAAACTAATGTACTTTTCTTCTTCATTTCAACTATAAGAATAATTTTCAACTTATTTAATGAGTTAATCAATAAAATGTTCTCCCTTATATTGGAGTTCAACTGTGGATTACACAAATAGGCACTGAAACAAAACAAATGTTACTTACTAAGCCGTCTTTACAAAGTTATTCTAAAAATCCATTATTTATCTATTTTTTGGGAACACAAGATATTATACATTAGTGACTAGCCTTGTTTATTTAAGTTTTCCCTTTTAAGTATAAGCCACATTTTAGCAAGTTAAAATAGATTATATTCTTCTCTGTCTCTTAAAGTAAGCAAATTACCACTTTCCCACTGCTTAATAACTAAGGACGCTCCTTTATAAAAACAAGAGAAAATATCCCCTTTAGAGGAAGTTAAAATAAAATATGGGAGCAAAGAGACCTGGTGGAATTAGACGAGGTTTCCTTTACTGAGAACAGACTTGCATAGCCTTCTGTGCAGTCTAGTAGTATTGTACTAGTCTTAGGGAGTCAGTTGTTATCACCAAGATAATGTGTGACCAAACTTTATCAGACTTTGTTTCTAAGTTATCAATAGTCTTCATTCAGAATGACTGAGTGACATTTATGCAAGGGAGATTATGATCCACTGACAATTTACTTGTGATTTAGGACAAACTACCACACAACACTTAAATCTTTTTAGGTACCATTTAACAAACCCTAAAAACAATGTCCTTTTGAAAAGGATAGTAGACTCTCAGAAAAAGATCAATCAAGTATGCTAACTATGTCTTAAAAATCATCAAGCGATAGCTACTTAATATACTACATATAGAAACTACAGACAAGTGAAAACAAAATGAAAGCAGGCAGTTGGGGTCAACAAAAATCAAAACAAAGAAATTAAAAACTCTGATATCCTTATGGTTATATTTTTGCCCATTTCTGATGGTTGCCTCAGAATACAATTCTTAGCAGTAGAATTTATGGGTAAAGACATTTGTTAAAGTCACTGATACATGCTATGAAACTATCCTCCAGAAAGAAGTCCCTCAATGTAGAATATAGAACTCATCATTGCACACATTCTCATCTACATCTGTAGTATTTAAAAAAATTTTTTTTCTCATATTTCACAGATTGTTAATGATTTATTTAAATGTGAGACTGAACTCAAAAACTTTGCTGACCATTTTTATTTAGTAAGTTGCCTATTTTGTCCTACTGAAGATTTTCCTTTTCCCTAATGATTTGTAACAGTTCTTTACCAATTAAAGATATTAATTCTTTGTCATTTTGTTAAAAATATTTTCTCACATTTAACACTTGTCTTTTAATTGTTGTGTCTAATGTTATATGGAAGTTAAACACTTTCGGTGTTATTGGGGTATAAATTCAAGGCCTTGCGTTTGCTAGGTTGACGCTCTGCCATCTGAATCATGCTCCTGCCGTAATAGTCAACAAATTGTCTCCCCTCTTTTTCTCCCCATGCCTGAAAGGACTTCTCTAATATTGAGACAAGGTAAGAATATAGTTTCCCTCTTTCCAGTTAATTCTAAATCTGCCTGATAGTTTACTTTTTGCCTTGAAGAATATAATTTTTCTCCAAAATTTAAATGAATTTATTAATCATCCCATCTTCAATAAATTCAATCTAATCAATACATTGAATGGAATATTTTCTCCCAAGAGTCTGAAATTTATCTTTACTATAAAGGGAATGTTTGGCTCACATTTTATACTGGACTTTTACTGGTATTCTATTGTCTTATATGTAGTGTAGTGTTATAAAGACTTGACTTGTTTTAATCTTCTAGATTTTTTTTTCAAAATGACTTTGCCTGTTCTAACTTAATTTTTTTCTTGAATATAAACTGCAATATCATCTAATTACATAAAATGCTAAATAAGACACTAGGATTTTTATCATTGCATTAAAATTCATGTAATATAAACACCATATTTTCTAGTCTAAAAATCTTAAGTTGCATAGTCTTTATTACTAACCCTCTTAAGTCATAGGTTTATTTCTAGGCATTCTTTCTTTATTGATGGTGATCTTTTGAATTAGTCTTTTCCCATACAGTAAGTTTTCTAAGTAATTTTGGCTGGCTTTTTAAGAAAAGAGTTCTTACTGAAGTGTATTTTCTGCCTTCTTTAAATGTTTTCTTCCCTCTAGTATCTAAGACACTACACTCTCTAGAAGTTCCATTTGTTTAAGGATCATCTGTCATTTACTTATTGCAATAATTATTAAATGCCCACATGTGCTGTGGACACAAGGTTAGGCTCACTCTTAACCCTGACAGATCTTTCAGTTTAGAGAGGGAGATACACCATAATAAAGAGAGCACAGAAATGGCAGTGAGTATAAACTGTAGTAAGTAGTGTTTATTTCACAGCTTTGTAATAAAGTGTACACATAGATGTGTGTGGCCCTCTGCATCTGTGAATTCAACCAATGGTGGATCTAAAACAGTAGAAAAATAATTTAAAAGAAAAACATCCAGATGTGTTGGTAAACACCTGTAATCCTAGTAACTCAGGAGGTGGAGACAGATGTAATACAAGTTCAAGGCCAGCCTGGGCAAAGTTAGTGAGCCCTTATTTCAAAAATAAAAAATAAAAACAAACAGACTAAGGGTGAAGCTCAAGTGTGAAGCCCTTGGCTCAATATCTAGTACTTCACAACAAAAAACAACCCCTACATATTTTCTTGCTGTGTTTCTGTAAACAATAGCTTGCAACCATTTACACAGAATTTATATTGTATTATGCATTATAAGAAGTTTAATGATGATTTGAAGTATAGGGGAGGATGTATGTAGATCATATGCAAATACAACAACATTTTGTATAAGAGACTTGAGCATCCATGGATTTTGGTACACACAGGGTATTCTGGAGTCATTTCTCTAAGGATACCAAGGAATATTTGTGTACATAAACCTAGATCCTTCTATAGGCCTAGCACAAAGAAGGTACTCATAAGGGGTTGACTGGCTGAACGAAAATACCTACGACCTAATATACATATTGAAAATGTTGAACTATAATATAATAAATGAAGAAGAATAGTACTAACTCATATTTTAATTCAATAAATAAAGGTGTTCTTTGCAGAATGAAAATAAAGAGTCCTCTGTGAGGACAATCTTTTATAAGCTCATCTTTGAGTTTCACTTAACACCTTCTCAAAATCCTAAGACTGTTTTGCCTTTAATTCTAGACTAGTGAAACCCGATTAACAGTTACAAGAGGATTGGGATTGTAGCTCAAAGTCAGGGTACTTGCCTAGCACATAAAAGAGCCTGACTTCTATTTCCAGCACAGGAAAAGGAAAACAAAAACAAAAAAAAAGCAGAAACAAAAACTAACAAACAAAACACCAATTTTAAATGACAAGTATATACACATCTTCAAAGGAAAGAGAAATAGCCACAAAATATAATCATGAATTCAACATTTCAACATGTCATAAGTTTGAAAGCACAATTAAATTAATGTGTTATCAGTATGTATTAACAGTATACTTCTTGATTTCCAAAATGTGCATTCTGCTTTTGTCTATATAAACCATCAGCATTGCTGCTTGCTGAAACCCTTTATCCTGGTAGGTCATTAGTAGTCACTGCACTCTAAACTTGTGCCTGTTGAAAATAAAGGTAAGGAAGTTTTCTTCCACAGCCTGTAGGCTCACAAAATTGAACCTGCTCTTTTATCTGCCTGTGCTCATTTAGCCCACCAAGCAGTCTTTATTAAAGTGAAGGCATCAGGCAGTCAAAGTTCATTAATACCATTTATATAATCTCTGCAGTTTCAATTAACTCAGCAAGACATTCTACTACATGATAACAGTCTCATTAATTCAATAAAATCCCATAACTATTAACAATATGGTCGATGTTAAACGGGGTGTCACCTAGTACAAAATAATAGCTTTAACAGCTTGTGATGAAACTCAAGGTTTTTTCTTAAATTTGATCTGGCTAAATATTCAGTCCTTCTACAACAAAGAATTATTTCTCTGTAAAAAATCTATAGGATTTTATACATGTACTGGGAGCAATTAAGTCTTTTAAAATGAGACCCAGGAGTAAGCTACTAATAATTTCATTGTCTAAATTATCAAGACTCTTCCATATTCCTGTCTAATCTTTTGTGCAAATGGAGTGAGTGGTCTTCATACACTGAATGGCAGAGGGTGATATTATATTTATTTTCATTGTCCATGGAACTTGTTTCCATTACTTTAAGACTTCCTGGATCAATTTTTTTATTTAATCACTTTTTTCTCTAAAGAAAAATATGAAAAAATGTGTAAGATGATTCACTGTGTCTAAATCTTTCACTGTGAGGTACTTTCAAACATTTGAAAGAGTGAGAACAATGAGGAGACAGGTCTAAAACAAAAGTCAAAATGAGAAGAGAGAAGAAAAAAACAGAAAAATGCTGGATCCTTGGTAAAGATTCTGAGCTACTAAACTAACTAATGAAGCAAAACCATTTACTCCCAGATTTCATAATGTGTGTAAATAATACTTGGGTAGTTCAGCCACTTTGAATGTGGTTTTGTTATTTAGACTTTTAAAAAACTGCTCCTAGTCTTCTTGGTTTTGGTCTTTATGTAAGAATTTTAAATAGTGTATCATGCATGAAAGGGGAATTCCTTTACTACCCTGAGATTACACAAAGGTTTTTCTAAACCTTTTTCTACTGTTTTATATACTTTCACATTATATTTCTATTCCACCTGAAATTTAGTATTCAGTAAATAAAGGTATGATTTAATCTTTTTTTCTAGATGGAAAACCAAATGTAGCAAGTCAATATGCTTTCCCTATTTTTTTTATTAATATCATGCAAGTCAACCTATTCCTAGATTATTTCACTCATCCATCCCTCAGTTTCCATAATACAATTGCATTAGTTTGATCACAGAACTTTTTTTATGTGTGTGATGCATAGTGAACCCAGGGCCTTGCACAATGGTGGTTTACCACTAAGCTATACCTCAATCCCTGATGATAGAACTTTTATAGAATAGAATTTTTCTATTCTGTATGGAGAAGAGGAATCCTTCACATGTTATTCATAGGAATGCAAATTAGCATAATCATTGTGGGAAACAGGTTCCTTAAAAATTAAAAATAGAACTATCATATGGTTCAGCAATTCCACTACTGGGTATATAAAGGAAATGAAATCAGAATGTTGAAGAGACATCTGCACTCCCATGTTCATTGCAGCAGTACTCATAAAAACTAAGAAACTGAAACAACCTAAGTATTTATCAACTTCCTTAATCAGTAGAGAAAATGTGGTATGTTTGCAAAACGGAATACTATTTAAGCATAAAAAGGATGAAATCCTATAGTTTAAGACAAGATGGATGGAATTTGAGGTCTTTGTGTAAAGTGAAATAAAACAGACACAGACAAGACCCTTACTGCCCCACTCACAATGGTGGTTACTAAAGGCTGGGGAGAATAAGGGAGAGGGAAGGATGGAAAAAGATTGGTCAATGGGTCCTAACTTAGGAGAAACGAGTTCTGCAGTTCTCTTGTATGGCAGGTTGACTATACATAACAGTGTTCTCTCTCTCTCTCTCTCCATATGCTCAATTTAAATTTTTTCACTTGTACAAGGTAACACAATGTATTAAGTATGTAAGGTCTTATCTAGGTGGGCTTGACTACAACAATTAATAAAGTATTGTCTAAATCATTAAAAAAACTGTAGAAGACAGGATTTTGAACATTTCTACCATAAAGAAATAATGAATGTTTGAGGAATTAGATATAATTACCCTGATTTGAAAGTTACTCAACGTATACATGCATCCAAACATTACCTGATATCCTATAAATATGAATAGTTTTATGTGTTAACTTTTTAGAAACATAAAGAAAAAAGAGAAGTAGTTTTAATATCTCCCCTACCAAATTCTGTGGCAACTCTAAGATATTTAATATTATAAAGATGATTATATCAAACACTACCACCAACACAAACCTTTGTTGTACATATGTATATGAAACAGAGTTTTGCATGTAGCCCAAGTTGGCCTCAAACTTGTGACCCTCCTGCCCCGACTCCTGAGTGCTGGGATTATTGGGAATCAAGCCCAGCTCACTGTATGTCCTTAACTCCAAGGTAAATACTACTCCTGCTTTCATCTTACAATAACAAAACTAAGGATTAGAAAAGTTAAGTAAGTAAACTGCTGAAGATAATGCAGCTGGTACATGGTGAGAGTCTAGACCCATTGCTTTTAACCACTAAAGCTGTATTATCTCCATTAAAATACTATATAGCTTTTATGCAGTACACTTAAAACAGTGTATATTTATATATTTATTTGGAAAGAAGCAATGTTTGTATTAAAATCTTCCCATCCAAATACATGCCATTATTTTTCTATTTATTCAATTCTTGCCTTATGCCCTTCAATAACACTTATGGTTTGCTTGACACAGCTTTTACATGTTTATTGTCAAATTTATTTGTAGACATTTTATAGTTTTGGTTGCCATTGTGAATGAGATATACTGTTTCCATTTCAAATTCTAAAGCGCTATGGTAAGAATGTAATTATATAGACATATTACTCATTAAAAATAAGATAAAATTATTGTCTTTGGTTATTGTATGTGCAAAATAATAATAAATACACTATTTAATATGATTGTAACCTGATTTGGTTTACCATCTTTAAATCCATAAACTTTACTTAAAATTAAATGTATTGCCGTTACCAGAGGTAAAGTTTTCTGTTACATTAAATTAAAGTTTGGTGGCCATCAATTAGATACAACTTGTGATTGTTCGGAATTAGTATACATTTGGAAAAATAAAAATATCCACTAAAGAGTAGGGGAAAATATAAACTTCAGTAGAAAACCTAGATATATCTTTATGTATTAAATAATTTATATTTCAATAAAAATAACACAATCCAATAATCTTTGTCTTAGTAATGAGATGAGCCAAATAACAGGAGCACAAAGAAACTATAAATTCTAAAATAGTTTAAAAAACTATTACAAGTTCTATTACTTGTAAATTTTAGATAGGACACCTGATTATTTTTATACGACATTATAGCTCTATAAATGCTGTACTTAGAGAAATCTTGACATACACACCTCTAAAAAGTTTTATTAGTAAACTGGCTTCAAAAATGCTGTTTATAAACAAAGTCTCCAAAGTTGAAAGAAAAGACTGAACATCTTATAGAAGACAATTTGGTAGAATGTCTTATAATGAGGAAGAAGCATATGTGCTTCAATGAGCTTACTTTTCACATACGCAGCTGAAAAGCAGCACTTGGATTGCTTTAGCATTATGATACAACTTTGGATACAATAAAGGTTGCATTATTGCTCTATCATTTGTCACGGTGTATAGAAAATTTTGAGTCAATGGATGCCACCTGTAAGATATTTTCATTACCTGTTTATAAAGCAACTGCTCATTTTCTCTAGCATAACAGAAAAGAACATCTGTAAGAATTTTTCTCACATTTTCTTGTTGGAAAAACTGCATTTCAGGAAACCTGAAAAAAGAAAACAGGATTGAAACTGAGTAGCGTTTTCAAGAATCACCCTCAAATTCTCTCATTGCTAAAAGGTGCCTGGGGCTGCTTCAGGTTTCATAACAACTCTGTATTTGCCATGGCAGCATAAGTCATTGGTGGGCTTAAAAAAAGGGAAATGATTACATTCCAGAGGTAAATGACATCCTTCAACATCTAAATATTTCAAATTTCTTCACACACTTAAAGTCACTCTGTGTGTGAAAACAACAGTTTTAGAAATGAATTATAGCCTACCTGTTTGGGGATAAGAGGTAGCCTTGATTTTTTGCTATTTTCGGTTTTTTTTAAAACTAGAATGTGATTTTGTACAAATATCAACTTTCACAAGAAATCATTTTCATGGTTTTTTAATGTAAATATTAGCATTTCAGTTACATATGACTACACAGTTAATATTTCATCAGATAAAATGTAGAATTCAAATGGATCAAAACTTAAATAGGATAAAAAATTCTACTAGGTGTTTTGAGGTAATGTGAAAAAAAAGGGCAGGGAACCTGCTTGAAACAAATTTAAATAGTTATTTATAAGCCAAGAGTATACCACCGTAAGAAAGTGAAGAGCAAACTCACAGCACTCCAGCACACAATGAACATATAAGGGCTGAAGGTCTGTAGTCTAGAACTAAACTGTCATGTGGGTTTAATCACAGAAGGTTTGAGCAAGAATTCTGGGGAGAGAAGAAACATGGAATGTCAGTAGAAAGATAAGTAAATCAGAAGGAAATGTATGAAGGCATAAAAGGCAGTGAGTGCTTCAAGTGTGCAGCACAGCATGGTGACTGGAAAACAGAAGGAAAATAGAACTCCATGAAGTGCTGCCCCTTGGGAGGAGGACGTTAGGGCAGAAGAAAAGGTGGGCAAATCTGAACTTTATAGTTCAAACACAATTCATTGACTTCACATTTTTTGAACAGGGAAGTGATAAACAGTCTTTGGGACTCTAAGTAGGAGTAAGCCTAAAGAGAAGACTTTATAGGAAGTAGTTGAGAATGCAATATAGTGAAGGAAAATGAATAATTCACACACCTAACTACAAAAAATCTATATTCGAACCCATGTTGCATCATTTCTAGCGGTGTAACCTTGAGCAAGTGACTGGTTACATGCTCATCTATTAAGCCGGGCTACTAATACTGATTTTATGACTAAAATGAGATCACGTGCCAGCAGCAAGAACCATGCCTGACAAGGAGCAGGTGCTCAGGCATAGAATTATTATTAGTCTTTGAGTAAAGATACTTTAGGTGAGGAACATGAATCTCAAGATGAAGACCCTCCAGGCAAGTTTAAGGAGGGCTGGCACAAATGACTTCTCCTGAAGAAGAGAAAATACACCTGGAAGGGAGATTCAGAGCAAGCATAGTAAGTCACAGAAGCCAGAGAAGTTCCAGAAAGATGACAAATGCACTAAACTAGAAAAAAAAATGATTTATTTGGGAGCAAAAGGAGGTTGCTGAAGACTTAGAAATTACAGCAATCAGCATGAAAGACAGATAATTAGCCAATAAAATAAATTGTTGTACAGAAATTTCTTAGGGAAATAGCCATTAAGACACGAATATAATAATGCCTTGAGAGATGAAATTTCTCCCTTACAATGACTAAAGTTTAGTCCTATCTTTTTTTTTTTTCTTCCCAGTTTGGGTGGAGAGCACTACTGGGTTTAAACTCAGGGCCTCACACTTGCTGGGCAGACACTCTGCTACTAGAGTCAAAGGCTTCCAGCCCTTTTGCTTTAGTTATTTTTCAGTTAAGTTCCTGCATTTTGCCTGGGACCACACTGGACCATGATCCCTCCTATCTGTGCCTCCCACTGTAGCTGGGAATAAGTGTAGAACCACCATGCCCGCTTGTTTGTTGACATGGGCTCTCACTAACTTTTGGCCTGGGCTGGGCTGGAAACATGATTATCCTGATTTCTGCCTCCCGGGTAGCTGGGATAACAAACGTGAGCCACTGTACTTGACAACAGCACTCAAGAGATTTGAATCACTTATCCTAATGCTTTTGCACGTCCCCTTCCTTGCTTATTATTTGGAAATTTTTTATGCATACAAGTACCATTAAGCTGTTGCAATCTTAATCATGGAAGAAAGTACTGAAAACCGCTACATTCACTTTGCAACAAGTATCTGTGAACTGTATAGTAGGAGTTTAATATTTAAATACTTAAAAAATAAATTATATTGTATACCAATCATGGTTTCATTTAAATGCTTGCTATACACTTGGAAGATTAAAAACTAGAGATCTACAAGAATTAAACTGCAGATAGATAATTTAAACTGCCCACTTTTAGCAAATATCCAATCAACAGCAAATGTATATTAGCAAGACATGGCACATATACACAAGAGCAAGACATCTACAATTTACTCCCCAATACTGAAAGACCACATTATGAAATTTCATGATATTCTTTTTTTTATTTAGAAAAGTGTAACTTGTTCTCTAGCACCAAATAATAAGATAGAAAGATAAAGGAAAGTTCTGAAAAAGAACTAAAAGTTCATGCTATTTCAGAAGTTGGAAAATGAACTGAAATTCAAAGATGTTTTAGTGGAAAGTCTTTGGAGATTATCCAGTGCAACTCAGAGATTAACTGTGAACGAAAACTGCAGCAAGAGAAATGAATACCTCTGGTAATGTATTTGGGTAGTTTGCAGACCAGAAGTAGTTTCTATTTCCTTTATCAGTTACAAAATGAGTCAGAGAAATACATTTAGGTAAAATTCTATGATGTTAAAGATACAAAGAAGAACCTAGCTCAGATAGTTCATATTTTTCCTATAAAATACTTAGTTGTCATATTATCAACTTGTAAGCCAGCAGACATTACATTTATAGCATCAGATAAAGCAGAGGGGAAAAACACAATGCTTAGCATTTCTAGGGACAGCAATAGTCTTGTTTGGATGACTCACTGTGACTCAGCATAGCTTCCCAAGAATTCTAGGTTTTTTTTTTTTTTTTTTAAAGACCCACGCCAGCTGATGTGGATTAAGGATAGGTAAAATTAAAATAATTTCAAACCAGTCTAATCCAGCTAACATTAGAAGGGCAAATCTGTCTCTGAAATAATAAAATTATAGAATACTGAGCCAAGCTGGATACAATTGTTAAGATTTTGAAGAATCAACAATGATTTACTTCTTTGTATAAGAAGAAACAATACTTCAGAAAAGATGAGGTAAAGAAAAAATATTAGAGTTAAAAACATAGAAGTTCATTGTTCATTCAAACAAAATATGTAATAGGAAAAATAAAAGGGAAAAAAATCACACAAAATAGGGACTACAAAATTTATTATCAGAAAACAAAAACGGGAATGAGAAGGAGGCAAGGATAAAACTCTGCAATAGGGACAGCTAAGGGAAGCTATGCATTCCATAATGAAATTAAGACAAAAAGGACTATGATGTCTACTTGGTGTAAAAATGTGATTCCAACTTCAGCTCCATAGAACTCAGTAGTATTTCTCCATGCTAATAATGAACTTTTCAAAAACAATCAAGAGAACAATTCCACTTACATTAGTTACAAAAATACTTAGAAATAATTTTAAGCAAGGAGGCAAAAGAACTATACCTTAAAATTATACAGCATTATGAAAGAAACTGAAGAATACACAAATAAAAATATCCTTCATGCACAGACTGGAAGACAATTTTGTTAAAATGTTAAAATGCCTGTACTACTCAAAATAATCTATAGAATCAATGAAATCCTAATAAAATTCCCAGTGTGACTTTCATAGACATAGAGAAAACAATCTTAAAATTCATTCACAGTCACAAAATAACCCAAATAACCAAGGCAATCATAAGCAAAAGGAAGATATCACACAAGCTGACTTCAAATTATACTACAAAGCAACAGTTATCAAATCAGCATGGTACTGGCATAAAAAGAGACACATCATTTTAGAGAACAGAATAGAAAGTACAGAAATGAGCCAACACATCTACAGTCAACTGACCTGTGACAAAGATACCAAGAATATGTAATGGGGAAAGGAATAGGCCTTTTCATAAATGGTTTGGGACAACTGGATATCTATATGCAAAAGAATAGTTGAACCTTGTGTCATATACCAAAATCAACTAAAAAAAAAAACCTCAAAGTGGATAACATATAAACATAAAAGTTGAAACTGTAAAACTACTAGAAGAAAACACAGGGGAAAACTACATTGGTCTGGGCTATGATTAATTGAGATTTGACCCCAGAAGTGCTTGCAACAAATGCAAACCAGATAAATAGGAATACATCAAAATAAATAGCTTAGTGTTGGTTAACACACTTAGTGTGCAAAAGGATCTGGGTTTGATCCTAAGCACCAAAATAAATGAATAAATAAATAAACTAATGGCTTCTGTACAACAGGAAATAAGAGAGTGCAGAGACAATCTATACAATAGGAGAAAAAATTCGCAAATCATACACCACCAAAATTAATATCCAAAATATAAAAGGAATTCTAACAACTCTACAGAGAGAAAACAGATCATTTCTTAAAGACAACAGTAGCTAACAGATACATGAAAAATGTTCCATAGTACTCAGCAGTTGAGAGATGAAACTAAATCCACAATGAGATCTTATCTGACACCTAAGTAGCTACTTAGGCAGCAGAGATCAGGAAGACTGAGGTTCAAGATCAGTAAGAGCAAATAGTTTTTGAGATCCCATCTTGAAAAAACCCATCACACACACACACAAAACAAGGCTGGCAGAGTTGCTCATGTGGTAGAGCAACTGCCTACCAAGCAATAAGCTGAGTTCAATCCCCAGTATTGCCAAAAAAAAATAAACTGAACCCAAACTATCCATCACCTAGCTTTATCACAAATCAGTCCTTTCATATGTCCTCCCCCATTGTGTATTATGTTGAGGAAAATTCCAGACATCACTGTCTCTATAAATATTGCAATGTGTATCTCTAAAAGATAAACA